CCAACCATAGAGAGTGGCCAACAAGGCCAACCATAGAGAGTGGCCAACAAGGCCAACCATAGAGAACGGCCAACAAGACCAAGGAGCACAGAGGGTGAAGCAATGATACAAAAAAGAGCAGAAGAAGGATTTTATATATATATATGAAAAAAAGAGAAAGGGAAGGAGAGAGAAAGAGACAGATACATTTGCAGGGGCCCAGTGTTCCCCAATCCTGGAGCCACAAAAAGAGGATGAATGTAGATCTGCCAATCCATACTTGTGTAGGATCACAATTTCTGTGAGCCCCAACCAATCCTGAAGACACCTAAGAGTATAGGAAAATGTTTATCAACATCAGCAATGCTAAGAAGTGTGGACTTCAACTCAGAGCAACTGGTCCCTTGCAGCTCTATTCTAATTCTAATTCCATTCCCAGAATCCCCCAGCCAGCAAGTAGGAGTAGCAGGAGAAGTAGCAGGAGAAGTAGGACTTGGAGTAAGGTCCGGGTGTCCATTGCCTTTTCTGGAGATAGTTAATTACCTTGTTCGTCACCTTTTCTGCAAAGGGCCTTTAAAGAAGCTATAAGAAGATTCAAGAAGTAGCACACCTGCGTTTTGACAAAAATGGATGAAATTTGTCCAGAATGTTACAGGGTCTGTTTGAGCAGGAGGTTGGGCTAGATGACCTCTAAGGTCACTTTCAACCCTATTGTTATTCTATGTAATAAGCTCCAGTCCAAGCAAGCTGCCTGGGGCGTTTTGGGAGTTGAAGTCCATGCTTGCTAACTGGGGAATTCTGGGAGCTGAAGTCCAAGCATGCCAGCCAGTGGTGGGATTCCATTTTTTTTTTTTTACTACCGGCTCTGTGGGCGTGGCTTGGTGGGCGTGGCAGGGGAAAAGATACTGCAAAATCCCCCTTCCCTCCCCAGTCCACTAACCTGCTTTCCAGCTCCGTTCTCCTGTGCAGGCCAACCAAAGGAGACCCAGCCAATCAGCTGGGACTCGAGAGGCGGAGCATAGATGGGTGTGGGGCCAGTCAGAGGCTGGATTTGCGGGTTCTCCGAACTAACTTCCGCTAACTAATTTCCTCCAAATTTCCACTACCGGTTCTCCAGAACTGGTCCGAACCGGCTGAATCCCATCTCTGATGCCAGCTGGGGAATTCTGGGAGTTGAAATCAAGCATAATGACTGGAGAATTCTGGAAGTTGAAATCCTCACACCTTAAGGTTGAGCAATACCGCTCTAGCGATTCCAACTCGCCTTGAGTACGTCAGCTTACCTAACCTTAGGGCCTGCCTCTCCCTTCGTCTGCGTACTTCCTCCTCTTAGTAAATTCCCAGACTGGGATTGACATCCAATCGTGGGCCAGATTTACAATTTCCAGCATGGGGCGGAGAGCGGAGGGGGGGGGGAGCAGCCCAACCCAGACAGACCTGCAAAGTTCACCTTTGCTCATTCCATCAGGGGCAAAAAAAAAAAAATGTTTAGCTGGAGAAAAAAATAATAATGTTTAGATGGAAAAGAACGGAAACTGCCTGGGCTTCGGGAAGGAGTGGGGGAGAGAGAGAGAGAGAGAGACTGGGCTGGGGAAAAGCAGAAAGGACAGACTGTCCCCTGGGGGGATGAAGCTGTGAGCGGGAGGGATGAGACAACATTATTTGGGAAAACAGATGTTGGCAAGATTGTGGGACGGAGCTGACAGACGGGTGGGCGGGAAGCTCAGCTAATGCAACTCAGGCTTGTTTTGGGGTTTGGAAGGCAGACAAGTGGGACCTTCTCACTCAGTTTCTCCCCACCTCTTTTTATTTTTCCCCCATCCCCCCATTTTTTCCTCCCCTGCCCTCTGGTTCCTGTTAAAGAGGATCACGGTCAAAATAACATTAGGGTTGCATCCATTTTGGTCGGCCCAATTTAAAAAAGATGTTGAGACTCTCTGGAAAGTGTGCAGAGAAGAGCAAAGACAACGATTAGGGGACTGGAGGCTGAAACATATGAAGAACGATTGCAGGAATTGGGAATATAATAGTTTAATGAAAAGAAGGACTGGGGGCTCTGGGGACATGATAGCAGCGTTCCAATATCTCAGGGGCTGCCCCAAAGAAGAGGGAGTCAAGCTATTCTCCAAAGCACCTGAGGACAGGACAAGAGGCAACGGGTGGAAACTAACCTAGGAGAGAAAGCAGCCTGGAATTAAGGAGAAATTGGCTGACAGTTAGTCTAATTAAACAATGAAAGGGTCAGTTTAGGATCAGGAAGGGAAGGAGAAGAACTTCTTGTACTCTTAGCTTTCCCCTGATCCTTTTAAACGCTTTTCAACAGGTTTGCAATGAACCTCAGCTGAATAGATCTAGTGTAGCATGAAAATCACCCATCTGGATTTGTTTTATTATTATTATTTTTTTGAGATTCGTGGTGCTGAACAATTTCGTGGTGTGTTTGTGAACCACAATACCTGGTCTCATGCTAAGTGCAAGTGAATAAACCATAATAACCATGGTTTCGTGAGAGGGAAGCCAGCCCCTTCCTTTCTCTTTTGTGTCAGTCTGTCTTTCTTTTGATCAAAGATAATATTTGTAGCTCAGGGTTGAAATGAGGAGTCGTTGGTGCCCTCTGAGCTTGCTTGTTTTCTTGCAGACGTTTCATGACCCAGCTAGGTAACATCATCAGTGTTAGACGGGAAGGGGGTTTCTGGAGGTGAAGAAGGGGAGGAAAAAGAGGAAGGGTGCTGAAGGATTGTCTCTGAGTTTGGCTGTTTTCTTGCAGACGTTTCATGATCCAGCTAGGTAACGTCATCAGTGCTCAGTGATGTTACCTAGTTTGGGGGTAATGAAACGTTTGCAAGAAAACAGCCAAGCTCAGAGAGCACCAAGGACCCCACGTTGTCTTCTGCTTTAATTTAGAGAATTTACAAATGTCCTCTTTGCCTTTCCTGAAGGCGTCTGCCTGCAGAACACAGAAAGCGAAGGCTATCCGTCCCCTGTGGTAATCCTGCCATTTATGAAACATGGAGATCTACACAGCTTCCTGCTGTACTCCCGGCTTGGGGAGAGCCCTGTGGTAAGTAGCAATCTTGCAGGGTCATTGATTCTTAGCCCTAAAACAATGGACTGTCTTAGTTGTCGTAGTGGACAACCAGCTATCTACGAGCCAACAGTGTACAGTGGCAGCCCAAAAGGCCAATGCAATCCTAAGTTGCATTAACAGAGGGATACAATCATGATCAAGTGAGGTACTAATACCACTCTATAAAGCCTTAGTAAGACCACACCTAGAGTACTGCATCCAGCTTTGGTCACCGCGTTATAAAAATGATGTTGAAACTCCAGAAAGAGTGCAGAGAAGAGCAAGCAGGATGATTGGGGGACTGGAGACTAAAACATACGATGAACGGTTGAAGGAACTGGGCCTGGCTAGTCTAGTGAAGAGAAGGACCAGGGGAGACAGGAGAGCAGCCTTCCAATATTTGAGGGGATGCCACAGAGAGGAGGAGGAGGCTAAGCTATTTTCCAAAGCACCTGAAGGCCAGACAACGATCAATGGATGGAAACTGAACAAGGAGAGATTCAACCTGGAAATAAGGAGGAACTTTCTGACAGCGAGAACAATCAACCGATGGAATAGAAGTTGCCTTCTGAAGTTGTGGGAGCTTCATCCCTGGAGGCTTTCAAGAAGAGACTGGACGGCCATCTGTCAGAAATGGTGTAGGGTCTCCTGCTTGGGTGGCGGGTTGGACTAGATGATCTAACAAGGTCCCTTCCAACTCTGTTAATCTGTTAAATCAGAGGATAGCCTAGTCCTTGTTGGTGTCCTCCGATTGTCCCAAAGGGGCTTTTTCAAAAGACAACTGGACTTTCTGTTTTTTTTCTTTGAAAACGTTTCACTTCTCCTCCCTGAACTTCTTCCCCTCTGACCGGATGGCGGAGAATGGAATTCTTCCGTCAGAACTGAGGAAGCTTCTGGGATGAGAAGCGAAACGTCTTCAAAGGAAAACCGAGAAAGTCCAGTTGCCCCTTGAAAAAAAAAAGCCCCTCTGGGATGACCATGACCTGGAGAATCTCCATAGACACTCCTCTGATCAGGTTCTTCTTCCTTCACAGCACCTGCCCATGCAGATGTTGGTCAAATTCATGGTGGACATTGCAAGTGGCATGGAGTACCTCAGCAGCAAGAACTTCATTCATCGGGACCTCGCTGCCCGCAACTGCATGTGAGTTTCTACCGGGGGAGAACCCTAAAAAATGGGGGATTTAGAAGCGGAGATCAGCAGTGAGGCCCCATCAGGATCCAGTTCAGCACCATCCAAATTTGGAGGTCTCAGTTCTCAAACTTTCCCAGCCTTTGCTGAGAATTCTGGGAGTTGAAGTCCAGACGCTTCTTGGCTTGGGGCGCACGACGATGTCACTCAAGCTGTTTGAAAGGGTTCCTTAAATGTCTGATGTAAGAGTTCAGCGGGGATGTTGCTCTATATCATGCATGTGAATACTATTTTTATGATAACTGATTTTCTTTCTATCTGGCTTACTTTGATCTCACCTTTATTATTTTTGTAAATAAGTCAAGGTAGCCAGCATTTACTCCTTTCTCTGCCTATTTTCCCCACAAAAACAACCTTGTGGGAGTCGGCTGGGAGAGAAAGATTGGCCTAAAGTCACCTAGCTGACTTTCATGCCTAAGGCGGGACTAGAACTCACAGTCTCCTAGTGATTGGCCCAAGGTCACCCAATCGGCTTTCATGCCTAAGATGAGACTAGAACTCTCAGCATCCGGTATTGTTCCAAAGTTACCCAGCCTGCTATTTTGCCTAAGGCAGGACTAGAACTCACAGTCTCCTGGTGATTGGGTGAAGATCACCCAACCGGCTTTCATGGCTAAGGCAGGACTAGAACTCACAGTCTCCTGGTGATTGGCTCAATTTTACCCAACCGGCTTTCATGGCTAAGATAGGACTAGAACTCACAGTCTCCTGGTGATTGGTTGAAGATCACCCAACCGGCTTTCATGGCTAAGGCAGGACTAGAACTCACCATCTCCTGGTAATTGGTTCAAGATCACCCAACTGGCTTTCATGGCTAAGGCAGGACTAGAGCTCACAGTCTCCTGGTTTCCAGCCTGGTGCCTTCACCTCTTAACTAATCTGACTCAGAATCTGGTCAGTCTGAGTGCGTTTCCTCCCTTTATCTTCACGAGAACTGACAACGGTCTTGTCTGGGACGCTTCCTCAGATTAAGTTTCTGCCCTGGGCTCAGATTTCTTTTATCTGAGCCTTGTATGGGTGGTTTGCTCCTTCTGCCTGTCACACGGTCCCCTTGTCCTCACCCTTCAAAGCCTTTCCTTCAAGAGCCCTTCGCATTCCCTCCGCAGGCTGAACGAAAGCATGACGGCCTGTGTGGCCGATTTTGGCCTCTCCAAGAAGATCTACAACGGTGACTATTACCGCCAAGGTCGTATCTCCAAGATGCCGGTGAAGTGGATTGCCATCGAGAGCCTGGCCGATCGCGTTTACACCACCAAGAGCGACGTGGTGAGTCTCCACCAGTAAATCGGGCTAACTTTTCGTTCCCGCTGGAAACCAGCTTCCAACCTTTCCACTGGGAGTATGTGGGCTCCACCTGGATGACAGATTTCTTCTGCCTCCCTTATCTTCTTTCTTCCAATCTCTGCCCTGCAGTGGTCCTTTGGAGTCACCATGTGGGAAATTGCCACTCGAGGCCAGACGCCTTATCCCGGGGTGGAAAACAGTGAAATTTACGACTACCTACATCAAGGCAACCGCCTCAAGCAGCCGATTGACTGCCTGGATAGCCTGTAAGTACAGTATCCCTGCCTCAGTTTCTCCTGTTGTCAAGAAATATAGGCGTTCCCATTTCCCTACCCTGGATCTGACTCAAATGTTATTTGATTGCTGTTTGTATAAGGGGCCGAGAGATAAGTACCTTGATCCATATATTAAACGTACGGCCCAGTGGGAGGCCCATATTAAAACAATACATACCTCATGTGTGGCCATATCAATGATGCATAAAGGCAAATATCTCTTCAATGGTAGTTTTTACATTCTGATGATGTTAGCAGACGCTCACGAAAGTTAAGTGGATAATATAGTTTAAGTTCCAGATATTGTCTGTCTCTTCTTTTAGACAGATAGGTAGGTAGATAGATAGATGGATGGATGGATAGATAGGTGTAGGTGTAGGTGTAGATTATATATGTGTGTGTGTTTTCTTAAGTTTTCACAGGTATTTATATGTATGGTATTCAGCTTTGTTTGGGTATTTTCCCACATCATTATAGTTGTGCTTTTAAAGTTGGTAGCAACGTTTCGGCAGAATCTCATCTGCCATCATCAGGCTTCTGTATTGTGTTCATCTTCT